AACCGTTATGCTGCTATTTCTATCGACATTTATATGACGCGGTATTTTAATTTCTCTTAGTAAAGGAAGTTCCTCTCTAAAGCGCTGCCACAATCGAACAATGCTGTCAGGCGGCGAGTCATCCCAATCGCATTCAAATAACCAAAGTTGTTTAATCAAAAGCTAAGCGTATAATACCACCGGAGCTACGAAACCCATGACGTCCCATAATCTAGCAACGCATGACAGTATTGTGCGCTTTGTGCATTTCTCTACGGGCGGATTTACCTTAAGGCTAAACACGTCGGACTCTGGTGACCAACACAGACCGAGCACCTTGTGTGTATCGGAATCGTCGAATTCCTTTATCGCCGAAAGACGGTGTGATAGTGGGATTGTATCTAAAACCGGACGCGAATTACTAGTCCACTTCACAAGATCGAATTGACCCGATTTCATGAGCCTTATAACCTCGGCGGTGGTTAGGGTGGCCTCCTCCACGCTATCGACCGAATACACAAAATCATCCATATAAATCCGCTCTCAATTGCCCTCTTAGCTTTAGGATAAGAGGGACCTTCATCGTGAGCGAGCTGTCTCACCGTGCGTAACGCATGAAATGGGCTCGACTTTAAACCAAAACAAACGCGGTTAAATTCTAACACCATTAGAGGTTCCTTTGGGTGGAAACGATATAAAATGCGCTGGAATCTACGGTCGCATTCACGGACCCCTATGCAAAGAAACATTTGGCGAATATCGGCGGATAGTGCTATACTAAACAAACGAAAATTGACTATTATATCAAATAAACTGCCCTGTAAATTTTGCCCACTATAGAGGATATCGTTAAGCGACAGGTGAGTGCTAGTTTTAGCACTAGCGTCGAGCACTACACGTAATTTAGATGTAAGTTTGTCCTCTCTAATGACTCCGTGGTGTGGTATAAAATACGACGGTGTGTCTTCGTAGTTATCTAATTTCGAAGCCACAAGTGACATGTAACCTTCTCTTATATATTCGTTAATGACGCCGTCGTAAGCTTCCTTTAACTGGGGCGAAGCGAGCATCCTACGCTCCAAGCTGTAGAAACGTTTTTCCGCCATTTGACGCGAATCGCCGAGAGATAAAACATCTCCCTTAAAGGGTAGCGCTACACTATATCTACCGTCGCGATCACGAACGGTCGTGCGGACGTAAATTTCCTCGCATATCCTGTCATCTGAACTAGCTATGGGTGGGACGTTCACCTCCTCCATCTCCCAAAATTTGCGGACTAACGATCGAGCGGTCGACAGCCATACCACAATAAGAGGCTGCCGAAATACTATCTAGGATGGGGGCGGAGCCAAGGATCACATAGCCCAATACGGTTTCCAGTGCGTAAGGCGCGGTATGCGAGGAGTTGCCCCTGACCTTATTGTTTAACAAAAGATGAGGGGAAAAGCGATGCCCCAATGAGCATGTCTATGTTTCCAGGAACGGCGTAAGTGTCGTCTGCTAGAGTCAAATTTTTAAATTCAATCATTGCCGAGGTGTCAACCGAAACGGTTGGCAACCGTTCAGTGACCCTATCTACTACTAGTGCATTTATATCAAAGTTAACGTTACGATCTATCCGAGAATAAAATTTTAAATTTATATATCCCTGTGTCGCTTTACTAGTACCTCCGATGCCTTTAACTACAGGACATGAAAGTGACCTATTTATTACTAAGCCTAAGCGCTGACAACATTGTCGTGTTATAAAGCTATTTTGGGCTCCGCTGTCCAGCAGTGCACGGACGCTTTGTTTGTTTCCACGCGAATCCCTAACCAAAATACGCGCCGTACCCAGTAACACGGTTGAAGGAGGTTGTGCTCCCATATTTGCCAATGAGCACAGAGCGACATCACCAGGTCGACCGCTAGAATCGTTGACCTTAGTAGGGGTGAATTCCTTATTCGCCTTACTTGACGCCGCTATGTTGCTATTTTCAAAATGTAATAGTGTGTGATGTTTCCTGGCGCACTTGCTACATACGGAACTCGAATTGCATTTTGCAACTAAATGCTTATCGCTTAAGCAGTTCAAACATAGGTTGTTTGTTTTTACTAACTTATAACGTTCGCTTGGTGAATATTTACGAAAAGTCGCACAGTTATATAAATTACCGTGTTTATCTTTACATACTATACAAGTATGCTGGAGTGATGTCGGCGTAGCGGTTACGTAAGTTAACGACCCTGCTATTTTAGATGGTTGAGTCTGTCTACGGTCGACGCACCTTTTAATCTCCTGTTTAACGTTCGGTGAGCGCTGCATCACCTTTATTTGATCTCGCACGAACGATGCTAATGAATGAAAGGAAGGCATCTCCGAGCTACGATGCTCCATTTCAAACGCACGCACGGTGTCGGAGTCTAATTTCTTTAATGCTATATGGAGAAACACCACGTCCATGAGGTCATTAAACTTCAAATTCTTAAGTGCAGCCACCGATGCCACAAATTTATCGAGAAACTGCTCTAAGCCGTTGATGTTCGCGGATGATATAGGTTTAAGATCGAATATCTGGTTCAAATATTCGGAAGCTAACATTCTCCTATCTTCATATTTAGTTTTAAGCGTTTCAAATATTAATACGTAATTGTTTGCTGTAGGTGTAAAACCCGAGCATATCGATTGTGCTCTGCCACTAAGTTTACTAATTAAGTAATATAATTTTTCAGCGTCCGATAACGATGGGTTGTTGTGTATATTGTTTTGAAAACTACTGAAGAAGAAGGGCCACGTCTTAATATCACCATTGAATACCGGAATATCTATTGGCGGTAACCTAATTGAGTCACGAGGGCGTACCTGCATTTCAGGCTTCGCTTCACCTTGAGATTGTAGCAATTTTGCGGTTCTCTTCACGCGACACAACATATCTTCGAATGCCAGCAGCGGTTGGTAGTTCACTATGTATTTCGGGTCGGTTTGTAGTTCCGAATGATTAATTTGATCTAATATTCTTTCGTAATCTGTCCGCAAATTATCTATCGTTTCGATTTCATTTAAAAAGGCCTCCCGTACTGCCTCTATATGAATGTTCTTTATATAATCACTTATATTCTGCACACGCGAAAAGAGTATGTCCCTCTTGGCATAAAGCGTTTTAATTTTGATTTCACTTCCACTAACTGCCATTTTAAATTATTATAATAAAGTTATATTAATCACAATTAATCTCACACGCATAAACGACGTAGGATGAATACTCGGCGTGCCGTATTACGTAATCAGATCGAGCGCCCGATGCAGTTAAGGCTACGCGTCGTTTGCTAAACCTAATAATTTTATAAAATTGTGGGGTAAGCGTATAAATTAGAGTGCGTTATCTAAACAATTAATTTAATAATTCGACCAGAAAATGGTTGGATAACCACTAAACACTAATCCAGATCCTGCCGAAGTGACCATAAAATGGTGGAGCCACGTGTTTAAGGCTGCCGAAAATCTAGTTCCCCGGTCAAACCTCAAACCTATTACGCGAGATATTAACTAAAGTGGACTGTATATGCGATTGCTTCTACGCTTACGTAAAAGCGACTACTATAGCATGCGGTACAATGCACTCGCTCTTCCCTAAACTAAACTATTACTTGTCGAATCAATGAAAGGAATCCTGCTTGACTAGGAAAAAAAACACAGATTGGAGCGGGTTAAACTATTAGCAAGCAGGTATAATTAAGGAATATTGACTCACCGGGGTTTCTTCTTCCTGTCGATCACTATAGCGGCGACTTCCGGAACCTCCTCTGGACAGACACTTCTGGGGCCCCAGTGGTGCGTCAGGAGAGAAGAGTTGGTTCAACGACGACTGCGGCGGGAGAAGAGGCTCACGCATCGGTCGCGCGTGTCTTATATATCCTCGGCTCGGTGATTACGCGATGTTCTAGAATCGTCTTCTTTCCCTCCCACCCCACCACCCCGATGTGTCGATAGGAGGGTACGAATGATATTGTTTGGAAAGGAATAATGATTCTACAAGTTCCTACCGTCAAATAAAAAAACGCGAATGGTTTTCCGCGCAACCAATCATCTTCATCAATTTTATCATCATTATCATCATCTTCATTGTCTTCATCGCTTCATTATTTTCATCATCATTGTAATAATCATCTTCATCAATGTTATCATCATTATCATCATCTTCTTTGTCTTCATCATCATAATCGTCATCGTTATCGTCACAGCCATCGTCATCGTCAACACCTTCATCAACGTTATCGTCATCGTAAGCGTCATCGTCATCGTCATCTTATCATCATCGTCTTTGTTATTGTCATTAATCATCATCATCATCGTCATCGTCATCATCATCTTCATCGTCATCGTCACAGTCATCGTAATCGTTATCGTCATCGTATCATTATCGTCATCATCATTGTAATAATCATCGTCATCATCAATGTCATCAGTGTCATCATAACTATCATCATCATCTTCATCTTCATCATCGTCATCGTCATCATTATCGTCAACCTAATCATCATCGACATGGACATTGTCATCGCCATCGTCATGGCCATCGTCATGGTAATCGTCACCGGCATCGTCTTTCTCATTTCACCATCGTCATCGTCATCATAATCGTCATCATCATCGTCATAGTCATCATCACCGTCATTGTCATCGTCAACGTAATCATCAACGTTATCGTCATCATAATCGTCATCGTCATTGTAATCTTATCATCGTCATCTTCGTTCGACGTCATCGTGATAATCATCGTCATCGTCATTGTTATCGTCATCGTGATCTTATCATCGTCGTCTTCGACTTTATTATCATCGTCTTCGTCATCATCTTCTTCATCGTCAACTTCATCATCATATTCATCGTCATCGTCATCGTCGTCGTATCATTATCTTCATCGTCATTGTCATATTCATCGTCTTCATCATCGTGATCAATATCATCATCATTCTCATCATCATCGTCATCATCAACGTGTTCAACGTCTTCATCATCGTCATCGTCTTTGTCATCGTAATCATTCATCATCATCATGATCGTGGTCAACGTCATCATCATCGTGGTCAACGTCATCATCATCATCATCATTCACATCGTCATCGTCATCCTCATTCTCATCGTCATCGTCATCAAAGCCATCATCATTATCATCATCTTCATTGTCTTCATCATAATCATCGACATCAAAGCCATCATCGTCATCGTCACCGTCATCGTCGTCGTCAACGTCATCAGCAACGTCATCATCATCGTCATCGTAATTGTCATCGTCATCGTAATCTTATTATCGTCTTAGTTATTGTATTTATCAACATCATCATCATCATTATTATCGTCATCGTCAATAACATCGTCACCGTTATCGTCATGGTCAACGTAATTATCTTCGTCATCGTCATCATCTTCGTCATCGTCATTGTCATTGACATTCTAATCGCCATCGTCATTGTCATCGTCATTGTCATCGTCATCGTCATCTTATTGTCATCGTTATCGTCATCATCATATTATCATAGGCGTCTTCGTTATTGTCATTATCATCATCATCATCATCATCGTCTTCTCATCGTCATCGTCATCTTATCGTCATCGTTATCGTCATCATCATCTTATCATAGGCGTCTTCGTCATTGTAATCATCATCATCATCATCATCATCATCATCATCATCGTCTTCTCATGGTCATAATTATCGTCATCATTAACGTGGTCAACGCCATCATCATCGTGGTCAACTTCAACATCATCGTCATTCACATCGTCATCGTATTCCTCATCTTCATCGTCACCGTCATTGTAATCGCTTCATTATTGTCATCATCATTGTCATTATCATCTTCATCAATGTTATCGTCATTATCATCATCTTCATTATCTTATTGATGATCATTGTCATAATCCTCGTCATCGTCTTCAACATCGTCACCGTCTTAATCAACGTCATCATCATTTTTTTTTTTCGCACTTCTCATCGTCATCGTAATTATCATCGTCAACGTCATCGTCATCATCATTGTCATCATTTTCCTAAGCATCATCGTGGACAATGTCATCATCATCGTCATCGTCATCTTCATCGTCATTGTCATCATAATAGTCATCATCTTCATCGTATTTGTCATCATAATAGTCATCATAGTCATCGTCATCAGCATCGTCATCGTATCATTATAGTCATCTTTATTGTCATAAACATCGTCATCGTCATCGTCATCTTTTTTTGTCACCGGCATCGTCATTCTCATCCTCATCGTCATTATCATAGTCATTTTCACTGTCGTCGTCATCGTCCTTATAATCCTCATCAATTTCATCATCAATTTCATCATCATTATCATCATGATCTTCATCTTTATCATCGTCATCGTCGTCGTCATCGTCATCATAATTGCCATCTTCATCGTCATCGTCATGGTCAACGTTAACATCATCGTCATATTATTCGTCATCGACATCATCATCTCGGTTGACGTCGTCATACTCGTGGTCAACGTCATCATCTTCGTCATTCACATCGTCATCGTCATCGCTTCATTATTGTCATCATCGTTATCATAATCATCATCATTATGACCTTCATCAATGCCATCATCATTATCATCATCTTCATTGTCTTCATCATCATCATCGTCATCGTCATCATCATCGTCATCGTCACCGCCATCGTCATCGTCAACGTCATCATCAACGTCATCGTCATTCTCATCCTCATCGTCATTTTCATAGTCATTGTCACCGTCATCGTCATCGTCCTCATAATCCTCATCAATTTCATCATCATTATCATCATGATCGTCATCTTAATCATCGTCATCGTCGTCGTCATCGTCATCATAATTGCCATCTTCATCGTCATCGTTATGGTCAACGTTAACATCATCGTCATCTTATTCGTCATCGACATCATCATCTCGGTTGACGTCGTCATACTCGTGGTCAACGTCATCATCTTCGTCATTCATATCGTCATCGTCATCGTCATCCTCATCGTCATCGTCATCGCTTCATTATTGTCATCATCGTTGTCATAATCATCATCATTATGACCTTCATCAATGCCATCATCATTATCATCATCTTCATTGTCTTCATCATCATCGTCACCGTCATCGTCATCGTCATCGTCACCGCCAACGTCATCGTCAACGTCATTATCAACATCATCGTCGTCGTAATCGTCATCGTCATCGTCATCTTATCATCATCGTATTCGTTATTTTCATTATCATCATCATTATCGTCACCGTCAATATATCGTCACCGTTATCGTCATGTTCAACGTTATTATCATCGTCATCGTAATCGTCAATATCATCGTCACCGTTATCGTCATGGTCAACGTAATTATCATCGTCATTGTCATCATCATCGTTATCGGCATCGTCATCATCATAGTCATCATCATCGTCATCTTATCATTATCTTCATCGTCGTTGTCATAATCATCATCATCGTCATCAATGTCATCATCATTATCATCATCATCGTCATCTTTATCATCGTCATCGTCATCATAATCGCAATCCTCATCGTCATCGTCATGGTCAACGTCATCATCATCGTCATTTTATTCGTCATCATCATCGTCATCGTCATCTTGTCGTCATCGTTATCGTCATCGTCATCTTATCATAGTCGTCTTCGTCATTATCATTATCATCATCATCATCATCATTGTCATCGTCATCGTCATCATCATTCTCATCATCATTGTCATCATCATC